TTGCATGTGAGATTTTTTTCATTCAAATAGTTTTTATTTAATAAAATTGACATCCTTGAAATTTCAAGGAAATTGACATGCTCGAAATTTCAACAGAATTGATAGGGCCTCCCTTATGCCTTATTACCTTTCAAGCAAAGAAATATCTTTGCATTCACACGGTTTGCAATCAATTATTATTTATTATTCTTTGAATTTCTTTGCAAAACAGTTACTGACTTGTAATTTTAGAAGCCTTTTTTTAGCCTGTTGAAAGTTTGAATTCTTTTCCTAAAATGAAATAAAATATATTAAGAAACAAAATATTAATATTTATTTATTAAATTTATAAAAAAATTAAAAAAATATTTTAAAATTATATTATTTTAATAAAACATCACAAAAAAATCTAAAACAGTATCATTTTTTTAAAAGATAAATTATTTTAATCTTTTTTAATAAATTTATTAAATCAACATAATTTTAAAATATTTTTCTTTTAATTTTTTTTTTTGTTAATATGGCCAAAAAACGTTCTCTTCGATATATTAATTGTTTACTTGCCTTTACATAATAATCTTGACATCTCTGACCTTATCAACAAACAATTCCAGAAAAACATGCTTCCAGGGGTATTTAATTAATTTTATAAAGTAAACTACATACAATCCGTCTTGTAAAACAGTTTTCTCAATTTTAAAATAATATCTATATTTAATTTAAAATTAATTAATAATAAATAAAATAACTATTCTTATATTTAACCTATGTATTTATTTCTTATGTTCTCCACGTGAGATTTTTCTATTCAAATAATTTTTATTCAATAAAATTGACATCCTTGAAATTTCAATAAAATTGAATGAGATGTTTTGATTCAGTGCTATTGAATCTTAAATTAAAATTATTCATCTTATGTGGGTTGTATGTTTAAACCCTATGAAAATTTTTTCTTTTATTTCTTAATTAACTTGCAAATAATTATAATATATTTAAAAAATAAAATTTCAACGAAATTAATGGGTATCTCTTATGCCTTATTCCCTTTCACGCAAAGAAATATCTTTGCACTCACGCAAAGAAATATCTTTGCATTCACGAGGTTTGCCGGAAATTATTATTCTTTGAATTTGTTTGCACAGTTATTGACTTGTAATTTTAGAAGCCTTTTTTTTAGGTTAAATACCCTTTTTGGTCCCTCTACTATAAGAAAAAGCCCTTTTTTGGTCCCTATACCGAAAAAATCTCCTTTTTGGTCCTTACTGTTTACAAATCCGGCCC